TGATGGAGAAGAGACTGCCGACGTTGGCAAGAAAACCTCCCGCATGGCATTATTTGAAATATCTGCAATTGTGGCTGATGATCAGATCCAGTTCAACTTCATGTACAACCGCCATTCGAAGAATCAGAAGGGTATTCGCAGGTGGATCGCCGAATGCCAACGGACCCTGGAGGAGATTGCTTCTGAGCTAGCCAAGCTGAACAAGCCTCAACCTACAATGGCAGATCTTCCTCTTTTGCCCTTGGATTCTTACAGCCGCCTTGATCGGGTACTCAAGACACTACCCGATGTTGGCATATCGTCATTTGATCTTGTGGAGAACATATATCCTTGTTCACCAATCCAAGACGGAATGATTCTCAGTCAAATTAGAGCTCCTGAGTCATACTGGTCTTCAACAGTCTTTGAAGTCAAGGCGCGACGTGGACCAGTCGATACCAAGAAAATCGTTGACGGATGGAGACAAGTTGTCGCTCGCCATCCAGCTTTGCGCACTGTTTTCATCGATAGCGTTTGCAAGGGTGGGGTGTTCGATCAGATTGTACTCAAGAATCCAGACTCTGGAGTTGTCACTTGTACGTGCAGTGACGCAGAGTTGCCCGCGATGCTGCAGTCCATTAAACACAGTTCTCTCAACGGCAAGAAGAAACCGGTCCTCCCGCACCAAGCTGCTGTCATCCAGACCACATCAGGAAGAGTCGTTGTCAAACTCATCGTCAATCATTCGGTGATTGACGGAGGGTCTCTTGCAGTCATCGAAAACGACCTTCAGGAAGCGTACGAAGGGCGCCTGACCGGCGAAGGTCCACTCTACAGCGACTACATCAAGTACCTTCGTGAACTGTCTACAGATGATGCCATCGGATATTGGAAAGCAAAACTTCGTGGTGTTAGTCCCTGCTATTTCCCCACTGCAACTCGAGACACAAGTAAACCACGACAACTCAAATCGTTCGATATGCGTTTCAGCCGCTTTGGAGAACTCCATGGCCTTGCTGAGACTAGTAACGTCACGTTTGCCAATCTATTCTTGACAGCCTGGGCACTAGTCCTTCGTTCTTATACCAACTCCTCCGACGTTTGTTACGGCTACCTCACTTCTGGAAGGGATGTACCCGTTCCAAATGTAGAGAGCGCTGTCGGAGCATTCCTGAACATGTTGGTATCGCGCGTTGAAATCAACCAGTCTTCTCAATTTCTTCAAGTCACGCAAAAGGTGCAGTCAGATTTCATTGACTCGACTCCGCACCAGCATTGCTCCCTTGCGCAGTTTCAACACGATTTGGGGCTATCTGGAAAGGCTCTTTTCAACACTGCCATCTCGATCCAAAAGCGCAGTGGCCTAGATGAGGAAACGACAAATACAGGCATTGAGTTCGAGCAGCTAGACGGCCATGATCCTAGCGAATTTGCCATCACGGTGAACATCGACGCAACGCGACATGACGAAGGCGTACGCTTCACTTACTGGAACGATGCTGTTACGGATGCTGAGGTGAAGAATGTGTCCTCTCTAATGTCAACAATCTTGGTGCAAGCTCTACGTGACTCCAAGCAAACAATCGGAGAGCTGGACGCTGTGTTAAATGGAAAGCCGGCACATGCAAGCATAGCACATTTTGCATCACCATCGTTACATTCATCAATTTCCCGATCTGGGACGAACAATTCCAGCACGTCAGCGACCTCTCCACCACAAACACCTCAAATTGTCTTCCCAGATATCGCTGCAGCGGTTCCTGCAACAACAGGAACACCGGATTGGACGAATCTCATTCGGTCCATTGTCAGCGAGATGGTTCCTCAGATCGTCAATCAAATCGTGGCTCAAAACAAGTTGCCGGCAGAAACTACGTCGTCAACTATCGATCAAATGACCACTCAGATGACGGGCATGCTTAGTAGGAAAGCATCTGCATCACACCGTGTTCGCGCGAGCCTCGACGGTCCTATAGTTCCCACAGGTTCTACACGAGCCGAATCTGTCCGTTCGCGTCGTCTGAGTCTCGTCAGCAACGCTGAGAGCAGAATACAGACGGCCGCTGACATGGTGGCTACCCTGGGCGCCTATGCTACAGAGGCTTCGCCCAAGGTGGCCCCTGATTTTGTGGAGAAGAAGCTTCTCAACTTGTGGAGTGAGTTGTTAGAAATGGTTGAAGAGTCGATCGAACAAGACGCCAGCTTTTTCCAACTAGGAGGGGATAGCATCATTGCTATGCGTTTGGTTGGTGCCGCAAGAGAAGAGGGACTGTCAATGACTGTCGCAGATGTATTCAAGAACCCTACTTTTGCGGATATGGCCCGCGTGGTACGTGTTGCGGGTGAAGTCATTGACGAAGTCATGTCACGAGCGGGTGGAGAATCAGTGGTTGGTGATGGGGATGTTGGAGATCAATCCAAGCATCGACGTCACGGATCCCGTGGGCGGGCAGCGTCTATCTGGAGTGACATTAATTCCATCGCCTCCGAGCTCAGGAGTGACATGCAAGGATTAACCCTCAATGAGCAGGCAGTTCTTGATGAGCCGGAGGTTACGAAGAACGACACAATGTTCAACAGATGGCAAGGCTTCTCAGCCCCCACTCAAGAACGACCGTCTACGCCACGCAAAGTCACGTACAAGACGTCGCCAATACCACAAACCGTTCATGAAGGGGTAGAGAGCTCGAATATTAAATCTGTCTCTCTCCTTGGCGACCCGAACGTCGATAACGTCATCTCAAAGGTGCAGGTTTTCAAGGGTGGTATCTCGGACATATTTCCTGTGACAGATTTCCAAGCTCTTGCTATTACTGGATCAATCATGGAGTCCAAGTGGATGCTCAATTATTTCTATCTCGATGGACGAGGAACACTGGACCTCCGCAAGCTCAAACAAGCTGCATACCGCATGGTACAAGCCTTTGACATCTTACGCACCGTGTTCGTTCCTTACGGCGATCGCTTCCTCCAAGTCGTTCTTCGTAAACTTCAACCAGAATTTATGTATGAGCAGACGGACGATGATCTTGACACCTTCACCAGAGGCTTGCAGCAAAGGGATCGTGAGATGGGCCCCCGTGTAGGCGAAGCCTTTATTCAGTTTGTGGTTGCGAAGCAAAAGCAAACTGGATCTCACCGTATATTCATGCGGTTGTCGCATGCCCAGTACGATGGCGTATGCATGTCAAAAATCCTTCTTGCACTTCAGGATGGTTACAACGGCCTTCCTGTCTCATCTGCTCCAAGTTTCGGCAACTTTGTTCGAGAGACAGCAAAGACTGTGAGTGGAGCTCACGAACACTGGAGAGAAGTACTCCGTGGATCCAAGATGACTGAGATTGTCAACCGCTTCGGTCCCAATTACCAACGCGCGGCTGGTCGCTCAATCACTCTAGAAAGGAGGGTCGACTCACCCTCGCTCAAGCGTTTCGACATTACCAGTGCCACTATTGCCAAGGCAGCTTGGGCATCGACTCTTGCACGTATCGCCAGCAAGTCCGATATCGTGTTCGGGCACGTCATCTCTGGTCGCAATGGAAGCGTTCAAAACATCGAGAACATCATCGGGCCTTGCTTGAACATGGTTCCTGTTCGTGTCATATACCGACCTGACTGGACTGTCCTCGACCTACTTCAAAACATACAAGACCAGCAGATATCTAACATGCCTTACGAGGCACTTGGTTTCCGCGAGATCACTCGCAACTGCACGGAGTGGCCAGATTGGACCAACTTTTCAAGCATTCTGCAACACGACCAAGGTGCCCAGGTCACTCACCAAACCATGCAACTAGGAGGAGTAGAGTACACTGTCGGCGCCCTCGGATCCCAAGAAGACTTTGCAGATCTTTCTATACACACGATTTCGCGCGCTAACAATGAGATGGAAGTCCGCCTAACATACGCTCCCAACAGCACTATCACCGCGGATTTCGCACAACATGTATTTGAGATGCTTTGCGCCAACGTTATCGCATTCTCCCACAGCCCTCGCGATTTGCTACCATCGCCTTCAGAATTCAGCTCTCAGGGCCCAACAACCATCGATCCGGAGAAGATGCGCAAGAGGTCTGCAGAGAAGCAGCCCATCTCTCTTCCAGCAGACACTGGTCTCAACCTCCAAGAGACAAACAAGGTCGCCGAAATCCTGCGCGCTGCATGGGAACAAATCCTCCACGACGAGAACGGCCTACCCGCCCCCGTCGAGTTAAACTCTGACTTCTTCCAGCTCGGCGGCGACATCATGGGCCTAGCGCAAGTCGCATCTATCCTCGACCAAGACGGCCTCAAGGTGCGCGTCGAGGATCTGATCGACAATTCCGTCTTCTTCGATCAAGTAGGCATCGTTGCTGCAGAGCGTAAGAAGGAAATTGATCGTGATGCACAGAACCCTTGGGGAGACAAGGGTAGGTTGAGAGTTGAGGAGAGGCCTAAGGAACGCAGGGGTAGTGCGTTGGGGACGCTGGCTAAGAGGTTTGGATTCAGTAGGAAGGAGAGTCCTAAGGAACTTCCTAAGGCGCCGTGAGCGGGCTTGATGTGGAGTCGGTTATGTTTCTGTTGGTTTTCATGAGTTGTTCGTCTATTGTAGTTGGTTGGGTAATTAGTGTTGATCAGTTTCTGCTTTGATGTTTACATCGCTTTTCATTTTTTTCTCTTAGGGTTTGGATCGGACTAGCGTTTATCTGTTTTGGGTTGGGGTAAAGGATTGGAGTTCGGGCTGCTTTTTTCCTGTTTTTGTTATAGTATCAATGCAACTGTTCGAGACAAATTCGTGCCTCCGTCCGCTGAAAATACAGTCACGATCCAAAAGTTCGCGACTCCTCGGTGTTCCCTCCCCAAACCCACACATCCCACTTCAAACTTCAGGAAAGAAATGTTTTACAAAAGATTTCGCATTCTTACTTGAAACTATTATTTCCTTACTCTTCTCTCTCCACTATTTACTAATTACAGGGAACCCTTCATGAAAGCCCAACGTTGGGGTGTTAGATTCTAGCAGGCCTGCTAGGATATGATGTTTAGTCGACCTTAAGCTTTTGGGGCTTGCGCCTATCGGCCATGAGCTTCCGTGGCTCGCGCCTATTGGCCTTCAGTTTCTGAGGTTCACGCTTATCGACCTTAAGTTTTTGGGGCTCCGCATCACGGCCCATGATACCCTCAAGACCCTCAACTGGCGCGGGAGCATTGCGGGCTGTTTTCTTGTTTTAGAATGGGCTGATTTTTCTTCCAGGGTTCTCTGCTCAAAACTATGGCTTACCTGCTCTAACAGGGTAGGAGGCGGCTGAAGTGGCCATGAGGGCCGCGGTCACGACGTCGAAAAATCTCATTGTTGTGGTGGTCGATATTCGTGGCTCAGACTGATGTTTGTCGCTGAATGTAAGATTGGCTTTTGTTGCTGAATGCAAGGCCGCGAACCCAATGATGGTGATGATGATATCTTTCAAATGTCTGGGTGGTGATGCCTCATATACCTCGCTGGCACTTCCATGGCCGTCAAGATACCATGAGCCTGCTAAATGTGTTGATGGCACGACGTTGTCATGCAGGCAGCATACGGCGGAGTTGTGCGCCAGGCCGTGTGCGAAATGCGGAGGAGGAGGCTGCTGTTGTCGGAATGCGAACACGTTGGTACTAGAGTGGCCTCCGAAAGTTTGACCAGGCCAGGATGTCTCCTCCGATCTTGGCAATTTTGTTCGGTGCCGTAGTAGTAAACACCGGCCATGACCAACCCTGACTACCATTGTCGGCCATCTGCCGTCAGTATGAGCTTACCTTTGACGACGCAAGTAACGATGACAATGTTCTCACTTAAAAGACATATCGGACGAACTTAGCCATGGTAAAAAGAAACGACGACACAAGTTTGCGCCAATGCAAGGAAGCTTTCCTCGACAGTCCTTGTCCGTCGACATGACACAAGTAGACACGGAAATGCAGGCGGGCAGCTCAAGAAGCAGCACCACGTTCGGGTGCTCTGAAGACCGCATGCCATCCATCAGCATGCGGAGACTGCTTGCCCTGACACTGCCTAACTTTGGGTGAGCAAATACCCCCTTTTGTAAGCAACCGACACAGCTGACACAGATGGCCAGCATCCAAGTGCTATGGTTCATCATTATGTCATATGGTACACCATACATGACTGGCCTGGGCATACCCAATTCCATCACAACGCTCGTATGGGTCTCAGGGCCGCTCAGTGGTGCACTGATCCAGCCACTGTTCGCAGCCATGTCCGACAGCACTCAGAATCCATGGGGAAAGCGCAAACCATATATTGCTGGAGGTGCCAGCTTCGTTGCCCTCTCACTGTTGGGCTTAGCGTATGCTGAAGATATGTCGAACTGGCTTACGAGCACCTCGTCCTCACACAAGCACATGTCCGCCCCGGGCCCGCCAAAGGCTAGCGCTCTGACGAAGCTGATGGTGACCTTTTGGATATTTGCGTTGAACATGGCCATCCAGCCGCTACAAAACGGAGTGCACGCCCTCGCTGTTGACAACTGCCCCGCTCACCAGCAAGTCACTGCAGCAGCGTGGACTGCCCGTTTCAATGGTCTGGGCGCCGTGGCCATCTCAGCTTCTGCCTTTGCCGATGTCGAGGCGTGGGCGCCGATACTGGGTGAAACCAAATTAAAGGCGCTGTGCATGCTAGCAGTGCTGGCACTGGGCGCCGCCATTACACCAGCATGCGTTTTGATACGCGACGAACCCAGTAAGGACATTGGCATGCACCGCGGAGCAGTGAGCATATTCGCACGGCTTTGGACGCTGGCTGGAAATCTGCCACCAGTTACAAGGCAGGTCTGCAAGGTGCAGTTCTGCGCCTTCACAGCTTGGTTCTCGGTGCTTTACTACTCGACCACCTACGTGTACCAGGTCTTCGTCATCGACCAGCACGTCCACCTCGACCCTGAGATTTTCGGTAGTGCAGACTCCCGCCTTGTGGACATAGGAAAGCAAGCCGGAACTCGTGCCTCGTTTGTTTTTGCCAGCATCACCTTTGCCTCGTCCCTGCTTCTACCGCTCATCGCCCGCTACTCCGCACGCCAACCCGCTTCCGGCCGTTCCATACCGACGGTTACAATATTCTCCCTGTCGCTTGGCCATGTTTGGTATCTTGCACATTGCTTGTTCGCCACTCTGATGTTTCTGACTTGCTTCGTCTACACCGTGCCTGCTGCCACTACCGTTGTCGGTATGCTTGGCATTGCCTGGTCCGTCGCCTCATGGGCTCCATACGCCCTCATCAGCACCGAAATTGCCACTATCAAGGCCCAGAGTGAGGGATTACATATGTCAACCGAGAAGAACACGGGAGCCACAGGGGCATGGGCGGATGAGACTACAGCAGGTATCATAGCCATTCATAACATGGCCATTTCCCTACCTCAGATTGGCGCCGCCTTGGGCTGCACTTTACTCTTCAAACTCGTGGAGATGTCGAAAAGGGACGACTCGGCTGCGTTTGCTTTCAAGTTTGCTGGTATCATGGCGGTGGTAGCAGCTTGGATCGGCAGGACTTTGAGATAGCTCTTGAATCACCCCTGTATATAATTGCCAGATACGAACTACTCACCCATACTCTTGCCCACTTGACATCACATATAAATGAATTCTTTGAAATAGCTAATCTATCCTACAACTGTTGTTTAAACCCTTCTGAATAATAACGAGAAAAGCGTAGCTGCAGGGAAATGCGGAGTGGACAGAAACGATCTTCCAACGTAAGCTAGTGCCACATGGGTTCGATGACTTTCATCCTGCAGGTTTTGCTATAATATATTCTGGTTGCTTGTTTTCTTCAATACATAATTTTACAGTCTTCATCCCGCAAAATGCCTGCACACGCCACAAATTATTCACTTACTCTGACACTTGGCGTACCAGACCTATCAAACGGAGAACAGTCACATCTAAAACGCCTTCTTACTTCACGCGAAGGACCTCACTAAATTATCTGTCCGTCATAGAAACATGCGCGGAGTATCCAAAAGCATTTAACTAATAAACATACATGGGCGAGTGGTCACCTTACGCATTACACAACCCATGACATCAACACGCAGGATACAAAATCTCAACCCTCGTTATCACCTCATTCAACGGCACCGACGTATTCGCCAAAGTATCCAAGCAATGCTCCGTATGATGATACGTCACCAACGAACTCTCCATCTTCCATCCTCGCTCAATCGCACGATGCATCATCTTCCAACCGTAAATGCAATGGTAAATGTGGAAGCGGCGATCCGTTCACATGAATTCTGTAGTGTGACTAATGGCTTATAAAGAAGGAATCTGTACTCTTTCCTCCGAAGCGGCTCGAGTCGCGTCGAGTTGCTGAGATAGAAGTTCCAGGAGCCTTCTTCCATGGATTTGGTGGTGAGTCCGCCGTCGTAGCACTCGAGTGGCAGCCACGATACCGTCATCATATTGAAGACGCAGCCTGCGGCCGCGGCCTCGGCAAGAGATCTGCCGCAAAGCTGAGCGGTACCGGCTTTGTAGCCGGAGGGCGCTTGTAGGGCTTCTGAGTGCTCCGCAGATGATGGTGCTGATGATGCGTCGCATGAGAGGCGAAGGTTTGGGAGTATGCGAGGTAATATCAGGATGAGGAGTAAAGAGAGAGAAAGTAAGAGGACGAGGGTGATGCTAAAGGCAACTGGGCCCAGGGACGTGGCTCTGAAGGCATATCTGATTTTATCTATTATCCGAGATCTTGGTCGCTATTTGATGCCGTTATAGCTTTCGTTGCCGTGGAGTTGGGAGTACTTTGGTAAGCATGGAATGCTTGATATTGCATGGAAAAATGATTGACTTTGAGGAAAATAGCAGGAAAGTGTCCCTCGACGCGCATTCACGCATCGATTAAAGAAACATCACGCATATGGCATGTTTGATACTGGTTAGGAACTGGTGATGACCGGCTTTCTTCCAATTTTCGGAGGGACCGTCAGACGGACGTGAGGTGGCTTGATGTAGATCGAGACTTTACGCGAAGTCGGTGGCATTACCAATAAATCACGGAGACTTTTGTCGGCCCACTACTTCTGGTCATCGGGATTTTGACGGAGTCTAGCTTACTTGGTGCGTACTCAGCAGATCAACGCCGGTACTTGTACTACTAGTATGCCCCGTGCCCCTCATTGCCCGGGTTCGTCTTACTGAGGCCCCGCCGAACACCAACGCCCGTCTCAACACTGCAACTTTGGCGATCCAATTGGAGCTTTACACAAACTAGCCATAAAGTCCCTGGATCTCAATCCTGTTGTTGATTCAACCATAGCTGGAACCGATCGATTATAACACCATAAGCCAAAACTACGGCGCTACATTCACGTGAATTAATTTCGTCTCTGGTTCCGAACCAGGGCTCCGCTCCGGAAAAGTGCTGGTAGTCATACGCCACGCCTAAACTCGGAATCACCCTGTTAACAAACGCGGTTATCTCCGGCGACGACATGAAGTCGTTCTCAGGCGCGAGGATCTGAACTGGCGCACCCACTTGCTCTACTTCCGTCTCTTCCAACAATGACGGGTGTGCGGTTGAGATGCAGTTCACGAAGCCGTTGTTGCTCCTTGCGCCGAGGTTGAACACTGCCCATCCGCCCCAGCAGAACCTTATGGCGCCGACGCTGTTGTACTGGGATCGTAGTTGTGTTGCAAACCTGACAAGCTCAGGTTCTCGGGTTTCTTTTGAGTTGCGGCTGATGCACGTGGGCATGTCGATTTTGTACAGTTGCGACATATCCATTAGGATTTCCGTCGGAAGCACCTCGCCACCATTAATGCAACGCGTTGGCACGATTCGCGCTGTAGTCGATTTCAGAAAAGTATCGTGAAATGAATTTACAAGTCTGGTATGTACACTGTAGCATTTGCTTCTTTCGCATACTGGTCAGCGAGAAGCCTGGCGTTCCGAAAACTCCGGCCGAATGCGTCATGTACTATTAAAATGAGAAGTTTAACTAATCGTATTTAGAAGCTCAAAAAGGGTGCTTGATTGCGACCTTCTCAAAGCCGATCCTCCCCTCGCCTGAAGCCTTAATCGCTTCGATTCCCTCCTTGAACCCTTCGATCACTCTCAGATTTGGAATTTGAAAGCGTTCACCGTAGTTTTCAGCTGCCCAAGAGACGACTTCAACCAAGCGTGACTCCCATTCCTGGTTTGCGGTGATGGGGCCTATGGGTGGAGGCAGGTTCATGTCCCAGGCTCGAGCGGCCAAACACCACATCCACTTATTTCTGTCACTGCGTACCGGCAAAGTCCCGGTGAAAATAGCATCCGGCGCAGTGTTTATTGTATCGAACCTTGACGTCGAGGATGCTAGTCCCTTTGTACATACTGAGTCGAAGATGAACTTTAACGGTTGACCGGATTGATCAATAGCACTCTGGATCTTTGCGACCACATCATCATCCCGGTAATCGAAGCAGTGTGTTGCACCCAATCCCTTCAGTGCTTGATGGCGAGAAGAAGATGCTGTAATGATGATAGGGCTGACACCTGCAGCTTTGGCAAGCTGTATTGCTGCCCAGCCTACTGCACTACCGCCTCCCCAAATCAGAATGCCGCTCTTAGTTGGCATTCCTGATGCCTTGATCTCGGCAAAAGGTATTCCTAAGACATTAAACAAGGCATCGGCGGCAGTCCTCACCACGATTGACATCACCGCCGCAGCCTGTTTTGGAAGTGTGGATGGCCGTTTAGCAATCAACGAATTTCCCTCAGCAAGCAGCCAATCTTGATGCGCTCCGAATTTCGAACCTAAGTCTATCTTCTTTGAGCCAAAGATCTCATCTCCGACTACGTAAGGAAATCCGGTTCCAGCCTTGACAACTTTTCCACTGAACTCGTAACCACAAACGTGGTCATTCATCTTGAAGTCGATCCCATGCTTCAGATCAGCAGGATTGATGCCAGAATAATGCACCTGGATCAGGCCTTGGTTATCAGCAGGCTCATAGAGATCGTCGTATTCCGTAGAAAATAACTCGTTTTTTGGTCCAATGTATATCGCTTTGTTGGGGGAGGTCATTGTTAAAATGGTTTTGATGCAAACAAGAAACAGAAAAAAGGTATTGAGCCTGGTTTTCACGAACAAAGGGCGATATATAAGCTATTATGGCCACCGGTAGCGCTGATCTTGAGCAAGAAACCGGGTAGCTGGGTACATGTGATTACATTTTGGATGATTATGTAATCCTCCGCCGGCAACAAGATGCTGGCCCCGAGCGGGGGGTCCCGGCGGGGGTGACTATGGTCCTAATCCATGAAGCCGACCGTGCATTGAAATATTGCATCATGCAATTAGCTTCAATCATCCCAGATACACAGTATTGTGAATTGGGTTTTCGACTTAATCTTCAGCATTGACGCATCCCCCATCATTGTCTGAAAAAGATTACATTGACTACACGAAAAAAGATATGCCGTTACAATCTACCACCGAAGGCGTCAAGTCTGGAGATATAGGTGCAGAGTGCAACGTTATCATTGCGGGAGCAGGTCCTGTTGGCTTACTGCTCGCTCTCCTCCTTGCTCGAAAAGGCATACGTTCCAAGGTGTTTGAGAAGAGTGCGGAGCTGGATACCTCTCCTCGAGCGGCTCTATACTACCCGCTTGTTCTCGAAGTCTTCAAGGACGCCGGAATCTACGATATTGTTCTCCAACTTGGTAGTTATTCAGGTGGCCCTATGTGGCGTAAACGCGTCATCGACGATGGTAACGGCGGGAAAGCCTTGGGACCGGCGATAGCAGAACTGGAGATGTCCAAACGGGGAGATGACGGATGTTTCGAAGAGGGAAAATTCGCCGTTATCCTTGTGCAAGGGCTCTTGGTCCAGGTGCTGTTGGAAGAAGCCACCAAAACAAATCTTGTCGAAGTTCACTTTAATACGCCTATCGAGGGATTTGAGCAAGATCAATGTGGCGTCACCGTCAAAGTTGAAGCTTTTGGAGAGCCTCAAACATTCAGGTCGCAGTATCTGGTAGGCTGCGATGGCGCCAGATCGACGATCCGCAAATTACTGGGGGTTGGCTTCAGTGGGCATTCGTGGCCTGAGAGACTCATTGCTACAGATGTGCGGCGCACTATACCCAAGCTCGAAAGACTTCCAGCTCACTTCGTGGTCGACAAAGTCCATTGGGGGGTAGTCCTACCACTTGAAGAGATCGTGCCCGGGAAACCTGGGCTGTGGCGCTACGCGATGGCCGTTCCTGACGAAACATTGACCAATGAGGAGATAGAGGATCCTAAATACGTACATAAACTTCTCCTCAAGTATCTGGATGGTCCACAGCCTGCCGAGTATACCTTAGTCCGCTATCGTGCTTATCGACTGCACCAGCTCCTGGCAAGTACCATGCATCGAAACAGAGTCCTTCTTGCTGGCGATGCTGCGCATGTTAACAATCCTGTTGGTGGACTTGGGTTATGCACCGGTTTGCTGGATGTTGACCTTCTCTATCAGGCATTTGATCTGATAATCAACCACAATTATCATGATCCTCAAGACTTGCTGGCAGAGTACTCGGCAGCTCGACGGTGTGTATTCCAGACGCTTGTGAGCCCAATAAGCAGTGCGAACAAACTCCGACTGCACGAAAGTGATCCAGACGATGCCGCCCGTGAGGATTGGTTTCTTCGGATCTTACGGAGAGGCATCCCACAGGAGATAGGCAAGGCGCACTCGCCGCTCCAGCAGGCCTGGAGGACTGACATTCGTTCAATCACCAAGGAGCCAGTTACCACTCAAGCTTGATTTGTCAATAGTGGCGGACTACTGGTTAGGAGATTGCAGGCCCTCTTGTAACACATATGGAGAAGCCAAAAGTGAATGGTTTTGAGATGCGCAGGGGGTACAGGGCATACTTGAGATATAACTGCTTCTTTACTACATGTATATCGTTGTACATGTGTATATAGGAACAAGGAGCATTTTCCACTCTCTAAAACCCAGCGAGCAACATTCGGTAAATAAAACTGCCAGACTTCACTATGTAGGGGCCGTGAGATTGAAGAGCACTGTGAAATCATAGCGGAGCCCACCGGTCCACGCCTTGCAAGGGCATTGTAGGGTCTCGGACTGCTGAAGCCGGATTTGGGCATAGTTGTGATTTGGATACACCCGAGTGGGGGATAATACAGCTAGCTAACACTAACGACAAGTGGCCATGCTATACGCATTCCGAGACCGCTGCCGGATGACGCGGATGGGGGGGGGGGACTTGGGACCCGCCGCCTCGCAGAATGAGGCGAATAGATAGCTCCGTAGATGTCACTCGAGAGAAAATCTTGCTTCGCACTGGAGTGGGCGGTTGGGACTAGATGCTCCCGGCGAGGGAGGACTGTCGGCACCCCCACATGAACTCGGGATTTCCACATAATGATATATTGCAGTGAAGTGGCATTTAATAGAGAATATATATACGAACAATCCATTGGCTCCTATACCTTTTTTTCTACTATACATCAAATACACAAGCGGTGATGCTACCAACGACTGCGGGCGAGCCTACCATCCGGCAGCTCTTCGAGCATGCCCAGATTCTGACACTGCGTAATGCCTTGATCATCGCACCAATCCTCTACGCAGCGTTCTATCTAATACACACCCTATTCATCTCCCACCAGCGCAAGATCCCCGGACCATTCCTCGCACGAATAACAGGATTATGGGAGCTAAAAAAGGTGGTAGATGGAGATCTCCACAAAACAATGGTCAAGCTGCACGAGCAATACGGTAAAATCCCTTACCCACAACCCTAGGACATGGTGCACCGTTTAGAAAGCCCCCCGTTCAGCGAAAATTAATGGTATTGAGCATGCTAGGTCCCATCGTACGCGTTGCGCCGAATCGCTACGACTTCAACACGCTAGAAGCAACAAGAACCATATACCGGATTGGCAACGCGTTTCCAAAGTCAAAATACTATGTCCCGTTCGGCTCGCAAGATGGCCCGAATCTGCTGAATGAGCTCGAAAATGGGCCGCATGGTGCGATGAAGAGACAGCTCGCGTCGCTGTATTCCATGTCGACGTTGCTATCTTATGAAGCCACCGTGGACAACCAGACGGCCATCATGAGGCAGAAGCTGGAGAATTTTGCTGCGACGGGCGAGTTGGTGGATATACCCCAATTCTTTCAGTACTACGCTTTCGATGTGATTGGCATGATTACTGTGAGTTGCGCGACACCCCCTCTTTTGTTACACAAGGTTGTTACTATTGGGTAATCATCGCACTGACGCTAATCCGTATTTCTGTCTATCTAGCTTGGAAGTTCCATGGGCATGATGGAGGCGAATACAGATGTCAACGGCATCTGTGCCGCGCTTGATGCCGCCTTTCACTACACATCTGTGACGGGGCTCTTTCCAAGCCTCCATCCATGGCTGATTTCTCTGACGCGAGTGCTTTGCTTGCCGATTCCTACGTCTCGAGTAGACGATTTCGTTACGGAGAAGATGGCGCTGCACTTGGACGAGGCTGCGCAAGTCGATGGGTCCAAGAAGGGGGCAACATTCCTGTCAAAGATGCTTGCGTTGCGGAATCAAGGCAAAGTTACCGACAGAGATGTTCACGTCTGTATAAGCATGAACATTGCAGCAGGCTCTGACACAACAGCCATTAGTTTGAGCTCCATCGTATACTACTTATATACTAATCCCAAGGTACTGGAGAGCCTTCGATATGAGCTGGATGCTCAATCGAAAGCCGGAAGACTGTCGGATATGGCGACTTACCAAGAAGCTCAGGAAATACCGTATCTTCTAGCTGTTATCAAGGAGGCTCTGCGGCTTCACTCCGCTGTTGGCACACAACTGACACGCGTGGTACCCAAGGGCGGTTGCATCATAGAAGGACATCATTTTCCTGAGGGGGTAAGTAGCATGATGATACTCAAAAGCTCTGCATCTGCACGTCATATTAGAATCGCTCGCTGATTTTGCTCTGAGTTTTTAGGCCGAGGTTGGAGTTAATAGTTGGGCACTTCATTACAACAAAGAGATGTTTGGCGAGGACGTCTATGCATTCAGGCCTGAACGTTGGCTTGAAGGCGATAAGACGAACATTGGGTTACCGGAATCCTTTGCAGTAAGTCAAGGCTCGCTATCTTATGATTCCTACGACCTTTTCTCTGTACTGATTTACTTCATAGTTCGGTCAAGGTTCCCGTTCCTGCATCGGCAAAAACATCAGCATCCTGGAAATGTCTAAAGCTATCCCACAGGTAGTGCAGAACTTCGATATCGATATTTCCACTACGAGCACCCAAGCTTGGTCAACCAAATGTCGTTGGTTCGTGAAGCCAGAGTATAAAGCCCTGCTGAGACGTCGAGCAAAATGAGGGGAAATGATTTGAACTTTGAGAAGGTATGAACTTTGGGGGTAGAAAGTCTACGTTTACTCCTCAAAAGCACAATGCAGCCAATTGTTTGCTGCGCAACCCATATAAATGCTCTCTTTTTCCTCACCCATGATTTAAAGTAATATTCCTTGGACTCCATGCTCTAAAATTGCCGACGTTGCACCAACTCTGTAGCTTGGCCGAGCTTCCCAATAAGACGCATCAGGTTGCCGACTAAGTTGGGACAATCTTGATAATCAGTCCAATACTTCTCAGATAATAAATCCTGGAAAATAGCCATAATCTCAGGCTGACGTATGACTTCAATAGTCGTATTCTCCACGCCGTTCGTTCCTTGACGACCATGCGTAATGCAGGGCTTTCCAAACCCCGACACTAAAAATTGTTGCACAACTGGAGTATGATCGCCGTCTAATACTACCTCTGTCTCCTTAGACAATGCCTCTTGGGATCTATGCTTCAGCTGTGAACTGCAATCTGTAGGGTTATCCGATAGTTGTGCCTTAGAAATTATTGAGTATGACCACAAAATCAGGCTAGCGTGATAGATTGCAAGAACTGTGGACACTCTTAAGGTGGGATCGCCATTGCGACGTGCTTCTCGCAAGATCTGACCAGCATGCCACATGGCTTGTCGGCAAGATCGACTTTCAGCCCACTCTTTGAGTCGTGGGAAGACACGGCGTGCTTCGCGCTCACCATCCTTTCCGCCAAGCAATTGCAGATCTTCGAGAAAGACATGAAGGTACATAAGCTGCCGCTCGTGTAGAACGACAAGGGAAGGGTCCATCGGACCAAGCCACTGCATGTGTATGGTCGCAAAGGACTCTAAGGATTCTTTCGCTTCTTGATAGAGTGCTTGGGTGCTGAATGTATGCTTGTTTTGCGTGGCACCTGGTGTTATGCCACGGGCCTTCAGGCGCTCCTTGTACTGCCATGTATTCGACCACAGACCACAGAGTACCACTAGAGCTGTGTATCTAGTGTCCACAGAGTTTCCAAGGGAAGACAGATTGTTGAGGTCTTCGATACAAGTGCGAATTGACAACTGTGGTGGGGGACCAAGGCTGAGCCAGGCTGCCCGCCACGCCTCAGCTGAGGGCGCATTCCAAATTGCTTGCGCTACTGGCAAGCCAGTGTGCATCTCAGTGTTTGTTAGTGGGGGTGGTGCCAGGAATGTCATGGAGTACTGGGTGCTGAGTATGAGCAGATGTAAAACAAGTCTATGTCGAATTTTAACGTCCGTAGGTGGTTAAGGCAAAGCTGATAGCGCTCAAAGATGGAAGATTGGGCTAAGTTTCTTTGCTTACCTTTTTTTAGATTCATAGTCAACCCAGGCATGCCATTTCTCTTTCAGATCAAGATCGTTGTCGTACGACTGTGGCGATATGCCTTCGGGATACGGAAATCGTAGATAATCCCCCCTCCTTAACATCTGTATTACTATGTTATCAACAGAATTCCCTAGGTCTGCCTGAAATCTTACAATAAATGGCATATTGAAGAGGCTCTCACTGATTTCGATTCGCCGACTATCCCCACTCCACAGCCCGGCTTGAATCAAAAGCACATAGGACTGGAAAGGGTCAAGCAATCGAGCATTGCGGACATCACCACGAAACTGTCGCGAAATAAGGTTAATGTTCGTTAACATTATGGCTAGATAAATTGTTTTCAGAGGTTACGTACCAAACGAGCGATCAGCTCTCGATGAAGCTCGTGTAAAGCAAGAGCAAATTTCAGAAACACAACGTTGACGGACCGGAAAGCACCGGCAACGATAAGGCCAATGACTAATTCCGTGGATGCAGTGTTCGGGTCAAAGCTTGGAACATGAAGCCATGAGTCTGCTTCCTGGCTGTGTTCCGCAAGTTCCATGGACAGCAGGTGTTCCAGGACTCTGATAGATGGAAAAGATGAAAGAAGGCGGTGGTGATTTGCAGAGTCTGCAAGAGGCAACATTGAGCTGAGGATGCGATATCGCGTAGACTGCTCGAGGTGCACAAGAATATGCTGTTGAAAATCATTAGACACACAAGCGGACATCATTTCGTCTAAAGCGGGAAAGAGATCTGCGGTTTTAGTGAACCAATCTTCGCCTTCTTTCGGCGTCCAGAGCAGGAACGATTGCATGTATGCGCTCTCGCCCATGGAAAGATTGTGGTCAGCTTCTGAAATGTCGTCTCTCTCTAGTGGCGCTACGGATGAAGCCTGGGTTTCCAAGGCGCCAAAATCGAGGATATCCAGATGGAACGCATCCCACGACCATCCTAGCTCATTCGCAGGAATGTCTGGCAAGCTTGAACAGCCAATTTGGGAGGAGAAACCAGTGGAGGAAGGTTGCTGAAGTTCAATATTGTTTGGGCCGAGTATGCTGTTTTCTTGTCCGATTGTGAAACCTGTGCCGCTGGTCAGTATATCTACCGGTGAATCGAAAGTGACACAGTCAAGTGTCAACCAATGACGGAAATCCGACGGCAGGGAAAAAGAAAAGCGAAATTAGCAAGCTAACGGTCAAATCAATGAGATGGGATGAAGATGCTGCCTTGCCTTTGCCAAAAGATATTGGAGTGATGGCTCGGTTTGCTGGGCTATCCTGTAGTTCTTGGAACATCTGTCCAGAAACTACTTGCATTTCGGTAGGATTTACAGTGTCGACCAGACCCGAAATTGAGTGATTATCATTATCCATACAATTTACAGGCGGGGTGGACGTTGACTGAAGTTCGCGATTGGTTGAACCTGAAAACACAACTATTTCAGAGGGTGGTGTGGTAGGCTGCGACTTGTCGATTGAACATGGTGACTTCTGACGCGTGCTCTGTTCTGGGCGGGATTTTTGAGGGAAACGGCAGGGCAAACCTCGTTCGACACATCGCCTGCACGGTTTTCCTCCTTCACAACGTAGTTTCGATTCAGCACACGAAAAGCAGGCTTTCGCAGCCCGCTGGCGGTGACTTCCTGGCACTGTACCACCGGCAGGTGAGCCAACAAATTTATGGATATTCATGTGTCGTTTGAGAGTATCACTAAGTCACCTCATGAGTCAAATGGCACAGTTACTGGGAGCCCTAACATAGGGGCACAAGTGGAAGTGAGCAAGGTACCAACTCACGGTCTTGAAAACGATTTAGGGCATAGCGGACAGCTGATCGATCTTTGCTCGGTATCTACGATTTAGAAATAGTGTTAGCGTTTGTAAAGTAGCCAATACTAGGGTGGTTTCGTACGTCTCCGGAAATGGCGAGCTAGATGATCGATTCGAGAATAGCGGCTCTTGCAGATATCGCAGACAAAGGGATTCGATTTGGCTGTGCTGGGCACTGCTTGTTGCGCAGAACCGGCCACATGTTCCTCTGATGCTTGATAACTTGCGTCAACGGTATTACCAGAGGCCGCTGAATCGGCTGAGCCGGTGCTCATAGTAAATGTGGTCTTTTCGATATGTTGCGCAGGAGATTGTTGGTGCCCAGTCGTCCAAATGTTTCTTGGTAGCAGGATGTATAAGAAGAAACTTCATGCCGAAGACGTGTTTGTAGTAGCCACTATGAGAGTATTGGACGGGGAAGGGATCCGCGGGAAGCGTTAAATGCGGGGTACATAGCATCTTGTGCGTGGGGCTACAGCTTGGCGCCGAATCGAGATTGGATAAAAAGTTCCGTCTCCTCTCTGGGGCAAGCAGATGGAGTACGCATACGTATGCGTAGCAGCAAAATAGAGTCCGGCTCATCAGAGTAGGTATTGAGTCCGTACGAGTAAGTCTCTCTCCAGAGAACCAATGAAACCTTCCAAGCCGGTGTCCAAGACCGCTATGAAGCTTGTCATTTCAGAATGGGGAACAAAGGACCTATTTTGTGACATGACCAGTCTATACTGTGGCAGTCGGTAAGCTCGGACGACCAAGCTAACAAGATGCGGGCCTCGTTTGCTTTAATTCTCTGTGATCAGGCAGGACCGGCCCGCCTAAAGCTTTGTGATTATGATAGCAGGTATTAGGCATGATTCAGCTACTATGACGTCTCGCACAGAGTCTGCTATCAAGTCAAAAGTCAAAAGGGAAGGTAGTTTCGAAGTCATCCAGATGTTGCGCGACATACTTACCGGAGGCCGAATCTTCCAATGGTCCGGACAGTGCCGCCCGAGCATCGGCCTGATGAGGCTGCCTTGCACGTGCCGGCGCCCCCGTCGGGCCATTCATTCTGCCCGTGATTTCATTCATTTTCCGGGTCGCGATTTGGCTAGTTTCGCTAGTCTAGCCAATCTGGCTGCCCTGGTAGAGGTTCTGCCGTGGTTCTGCCGTCCGTTACGGCAGAGCTGTTTTCTTTGTTTCTTGATTCATCTGCAAGATTGATTTCTTTTAACCTCAGGAAACCGACCACGTACCTGATGCCTCTCGCAACTCTTGCATAGGGCTAACTTTTAATTTCCTCTTATAGTCAGCTCTGTAGCCAGTTCTATTGCTGGTCAGGTTAATAGAGATTTTAAGGTTTGCTACGTGACAAGGCGCTTTCCCGATATAGCAATCCCGAAAATATTGGCACTGCTAATGCCTATAGACATCCTCCGAGCCAATTAGATTGCATTTTCTTTCTGCTCGAACCCCCGGGGACGGATTGTGATATGCAGCTATACAGCTGCGATAAGCAGTAGACGAAGCCTGTTTTAGTACTCAAACTCTATTTATTGGTAACGCTGTTTTGCGGCCCCAAGACCTACGTTTTTCCAAACATGACGCTGCTTCTGTTATCATTATCTACACGAGCCTATATTGTTAATACATCAGATGTAGCAGTCATACAACGGATTTCTACCGAATGAGCTCTTATTCCGAGCTGACTGTAAAACATATCTATCATACCTGGTTGACATCCATGTATGATCTTTTAGGGTGACAGGCTGTAGCATGTTTCACCTACAGCAGGATCAACCGCGGGAGCGATTGCGGCAATTCGGCCCAATCGCACAGCTTCTCAAGTCTAACAAGTCAATCCTGCCATTTCTAACGGTTCCGTCGATTGCATGGGTTCTTAAGCTGAGCTTCGGTGAATTACCTGCATTTTCCAGGGCAGCTCCTTGTGTCACGCAATCAGATCAAACAATGACAGCGATATAATCCCGTTAGTGAGTTCTACTCTGTTCTCACCGCCTACACAACCGCTGTATCTATATCATTTGTATGCAAGCTGCCGCTTATCGTTTCCTCTCCCTTCTAGAATATTTAAGAACACTCTAAAAAGTATTTTCGATACGCAAAAGCACGATAAAGTTCATTTCTTTTTTGCAAACGTTCTTTTTCCTGTCGATGCAATGCAGATAGGAAAGACTGGTCGCAGCAGGATGAATTCGAAAGCATGTGATCAATGCTATAGATGTAAGGTTAAGTGCACGATGGAGCTCAGCGGCTGCGGGCGCTGTCGACTGACGGGTGGCGCATGTACGTACAGCCTGGGCAAATGGATGGGCCGGCCAAAGAAGTCGAGCCAGCAAATCTCGAAAGCCCAAGCAAGAGGGACGAGAGATGCCGGAAATGCCTCTCTAGAGCACAATAGAAACCTTTCGGGTAAGTCTCGTCTATCATCATACAAAATAGAAATATCTGTTAATTCTATCAGATCATATCATACACATGCCAGATACACAACAAGGGTGGGAGATGCTCTCATCCGCTATGGACGAGTCTGACATGAGCATTTTGAATCATGAAACAATATCACTATTCTCGATGGGCGATAACACCCCGGCCAAAGTCGAAGACTGCTACACCAGCCCCGATGAATGCCAGAGTATCAATACTTCAGATAAGAAGACGAGTCCAAGTTCCTTTTCTCCCACTTGGACTAAAGCCAGAGAGACGCCAACAAGTGGCATGGAGACCAGTAGCACCCCATCGGTATGTTTTAGTCGCGTACTTAAAACGAAAAGTAAAATTATAGACCTAACCAGCGCTGTAGCCACAGGAGTGCCAACAAGGCAATTATCATAAGCATCGAGCCAGCGCATACTCATATCTGCCAACTCCACAGAGCCCCGGTTGTCCTCACGACTTCAACTTTGGAATAACGGGCACGGATTTTACAGCTTCGCCATCAGCTTCCTTGGGAGGCAACATCGAAACGTAAGCTATATGAACACTTCATCATCTCTCAAGAAGACCGTACACTAAAACAAGTCACAGAAATTCTGCTAGACATACCGAAGACATGGACTACGGACAAACACGTGCAGTAATGCAAGAGAGACCTACTTCTCCTAACGAGCAAGCGTGCAACTGCAAATGCTCTCAAGTCGCGCTAGCCTGCCTAGACAAAATCTCCGTCGTGCCTTCTGAAGCCCGTTACATGGACCGTCTCCACATCATCCAGTCCGCTCTCATGACCGCAGAGCGGCTAGTTCTCTGCACAGACTGCCCACCAAACATGACCATTGCAAGATGTTGCTTCATCTTGGGAAACACGCATGAGCTGGTGAGTGATGTGAGTGCCCACGCAGGAGACGCATCCAGCCCTCCCACCACCATGCTCTCCCGCCAATCGATAGAATACATGAGGCGCATCAAGCGCCGCGCTAGCATGCTTCTTGCGGGGTTGAAAGCGTTGCAAGAATTTGGGTCCGGGGATCGGCGTCTTTCAAATATGCAGTCTGAGTTTCTATCAGTGCTTGCAAGTTCTTGGCTTGTGCTACTACCAGATTATCGAGATTGAAAAACAATATTACAAATTTAAAATCTCAAACCACTGGAATTCAAATAAATATGTTACATTATGATTTTTTTTCTCTTCTCATGGAATGGGTTTGGGCTGCCGAATAAGGATGGTGGTTGTGTAAGGCTTTGACCATCCATATTGCGGGCGCTCCTGTTGCACCAATTTGACCACTTGGAAGCCGTGGTCTTGGTAAAGCTTGACACCTGGGGTTTTGGCAACAACAATCGTCTTAAGACTGTTTCTGTCCGCGTATGCCAGGCCTTCAGCGAGCAACATGGAGCCGATGCCACGTCTCTGGTGCTCCGGATGTGTAGCCAGATAATCCAATGCTTCGAGGTAATTAGTCCAAGTAAAATGTCCAAGATTATGTTGGAAAGTTCACCGAGAAACTCATCCCCAGTGGACAGCGCTTCGGCTTCTGCTTTCTCTATTGCCTCGCTCAGCTCGTCCACCATCTGATGGTCAATGCCACGGATTGTCCCGTCTTCAGTTACGTTCTGGAACGATTGTTCATATGCTTGACGTTTTTCCAAATCATCCTCGAGCACTATGCCATTGGCCCACGTATCAGCATGTCCATCGGGGATAATCCAACGCGCATAACCAACAGCATTCCCGGTAGCTTCGTCTACAACCTTGCGGTGACGCTTAGTGGATGTTACTTTGACAAGGTTCCATGGCAAACGCCTTGCGCAATCATAGATGATGTTTTCCAGCATTATTCTCTTCCATAGAGACGCCCAATGTGCATCTTGGTAAAATGCGCGCATCATGGTGTCAGCCAGACCTGTTGAGTCGGTGGGCTTCACTGGATGGATCGTGTAGATCTGGAGGCAAAAGATTAGCAAGAGATGACAGCAGAGACTAGTACTTGCAACCTGCCATTTTTGTAAAGATGTGCAGATTATGTTCGCCGATGAGTAAAACTTTGCTGAGTGGAACAACTGGGTGGGCGTCACAGGTCAGGGGTGTAGGAAAGGTCTAGCAGGTGGTGTCGTTGAGCGCCAAACTTTCTCGCTTTCCAAATCCATATGTACTTAACAGTCCTCCTGCATGCTACTCTTCATCCTTCAAGTGTTCCTGCATAATTCTTTGCATAACCACCCCTCGTTTGGGTCGTTGGCTAAACTATCATTCAGGAGGATGACTCCTGCTTTTCATTCAAGGTTTTTGCGGTTACTTGAGTTGCATCGCGTGGATTTTCCGGCCCGAACCATGCATGGGCCGATCTTCACGCCGGAGGGGGAATGTCAAACAACAACTTCGGAGCCGAAAATGAACCTCCGAAAACTTCAAGGCTCCGCAACAACTATGGAGCGGCGTGTGTTCGCTTCCAGAGAGCACGCGCTCAGCGCCACACAATCGCGTTACTCAGTGATTTAGAATATGATGATAGTGATCTTGCATTGTATATAACATGTGACACAGCCACTACTACTAAAGAAAGAGTATCATCCAAACCGCTATATGCGCCCACTCACATCTAACCAACCTTATTCCTCGCTCAAACATTGACGAATTAAGTAACCGACATGTTACCCACAATCATAAGCAAGATATCTCGCTGTAAGTTTTGAAAGCCGCCCTTCTTCCCCCCCTGCACCCCCAAAACCCAATTTCCAACTTGAGAAGCAGTAAGCTTACCCTCCTCAAAGACACAAATTTATCCAATCCAGAACATCAAAACCCGCCATACAGCGCTAGCAACGAAGACAAGCCTTTCCTCCCAACCGCACATGAGAGAGAAGATTATACCTCTCCAGCCGCCAGCCGGCCCCGCTCACGCCTCTGCTCCGCCAAGCACTCGGCTGCACCTGGGACCTCATGAGCTACGGCTGGGTGCACCCGCGCTGCGTCAAGCCCGACGAGTCGCAAATGTGGATCCAGAAGCACGGGCCCTGGAAGTGGTACTACGACGGGAATGCTACGCAGGAGATTCCTCTAGAGGACCTGCCGATGACAGTGCGCGCCCATACCGAGTAAGGTTACCATGTTATACATTGTTTGTATACGCTCAAACTGATGCATTTGGCGGGTATGAGTGGCCATCTTGTTACCGATGAGGCGATTGCCCTGGCGCATACGCAGCATTGTGTGGGTGTGATTGCGTCATCCGAGAATACGGATTCTAAGCAGATTAATACGGCTGTGGATATGCTGTTTGCGCGGTGTGTGACGCTTAATTAGATTGACGGTTTCACTCGTGTTTGAACTGGAGGGGAAAAAAAGAACATGAGATTCTGTCAGTAGTAGTGAAGTTGCAGTTACCAAGGTCGAACTTTTATCTTGGAATTATATGAGCGCATCAATATCGAGTTGATAATCACACCATCCTTAGGTGTGAACTTGATCAACATTGAGTATGTATTGATAATTAAACAGAAACAGTGAGAATCGTATCTAAACCTCACTTCCACCATCTTGCTGCTCCTCATCACCCGGCTTATGGCCATGCCCTTCAATGTCCTCCATATCCTCATCCATACCGGGCCAGAGCACTCTCTTCTGCAGCACACCCTTCACATTAAGCACTGCCACCCAAAACCATAGTATAACAAGTACAATAGTCATAGCACTACATACCCCCTTGATTCCGGGGCTGTCCAGGGCTTTCGCAATCCAAATAAGCGCAATCGTCATTCCGGCGTTGGGGAAAATGAAACCCCAATGGTTGAGTGTAAAGTGCGAATCTTTGGCGCTAATGATGATGCTGACAGTAGCAATTGCACTGAACCAGAAGGAAATGAGCCAGAAGAAGATGCCTACTATGACGCCGAATGCTTTAATTGCGTCGCCAACAGGGAAGGATGTGATGGCGAGGAAGTTGGGGGGTAGATGTCTTGGAGCCTCAATGCCGAGCGCGACGCATGCATTGGCAGTGTAAGCTGCTGGACCGACAGCAACGTACATGCCAGGTCGCTTCGGGACCTCGGGAAGATTGCTGTTGACGAGGCGAGTGAAGTAGAGGGTGAGCATCAGAAATGCAATCGTCCAGCCAAGCCCCTGAAACGCGATGCTGCCAATGAATATCTTATAACCTGCATCAGGAGGCTGGCTCTTCAACAAAGTACTGCCCAGAACACCCAAGATAAGGAAGGGGTAAATTGGTAAGATCCACGAGGGCATGGCGTCGGCGACGGGAAGTTCTCTTCGGTCAAAGATGACGTGGTACTGAAAGACGGCGACAAGGATGACAATGGCAGCGTAGAGCCAGTAGAGTATCTCCAGTGCCTTGACTAGCCATGGCCCGCTCGAGGGAACACCATAAAGCTCCATACAGTAGATGATCAACGCAATACTGACAAAGTATGCGCCGAAGAAGAAGCTTTCGTAAGGGTGATGTAAGCTGAGTTTCAGCGATCCACGGTTGTGTATGAAGCGGTAGGAGATGCACGCGGTGAATATGAGGAATAAGACGATATCTAGTATGTAAAATATCTTCCCTATTGTCTTCAAGCCAGAGAAGCTGTACGGTTGTTGGCCAAGTAGCGTGGCAAGCGCACCGGTTGACATTGTGCATTCGAACCAAGACCAGCTAAAGTGATCAAGACGCTTTTTCCATGGTAGATGTGTGGGGTTGTAGTCTTCTCGTTGTGCTGGCCGGGTACGCCGTTTGATAGGGCGAGGAAGTGAGTGTGAAGGCATGCTGGTGGTCGTGTCACTAAGGGCACTGTTGACAGTGAGGTTGTAACAACAATCCAGTCGCAGACTGGCAAAGCAATTGATCCAAACTCAACAAAGTGCAGCGACGAGACAGACTTGTGTTATGTTAATTGCCAAGGATTCCGCTACTGCTGGGCGAAGCAAATGCCATGATTTCTTGACGTCAAATTGGCATTCCATCGTTCGAAGCCAAGAAAATGTTTAAGATAAAGGCGTCATAATCTTAGGGAGGTCGACCTGGAACCCTGAAGAAGTATGGCTTTCGTAGATCGCGGTGAAGGTCGAGCGAATTAAGCAGTGTCACCCCTGCATCATCGAGCCTCATAGATCTTCGTGCAACGTGATGACAACCTCCTGCGTATTTCTTGAAATCCATGTCCTAGGGGTTATTCACAGGCTGGGCTGCGATAGGCTCAGCTGCGACGATCGTAGTTATAGTGCTGCCGCGGCAGGTGATGTGTCAATGACGTAACGCTCGCGACAGCGAAACACCATCCTTCATCGTCTTCTTGTGAGGTTTCCTTGAAGGAATTAATATGGGGAGATTGCTTATTTTCTCTGCGTGTGGGTACTTCCGATGATGCTTAATTTGCTTGCCCGCCACAACATCCTCCAGCCGTGAGAATGCGCAATGTCTGCATGAATGATGTTGTCATGTGACATTCTTTAGAGTACGCCTATTGCTATAGAAATTGGTAATGGATACCTTAGATTTCCTTGAGAAGTTTGATAGTATCCAGAAAGCCATCGTAATCTGATACATGGGCGATAATATCGTCTTTGGCTGGACTAAGGCCATTTGAACCATTAGACTTTTACAGCAACCCTACGAGAACGCTCAACCGACACTGAGAGTTTCCATTCATTCTTTTGGAATATTCATTTTTTTTGGAATGGTACTCAGTTCAAAATTATCGATGGAAATAGCTACAAACCTGATCGCGAAAGTTTGACTGAATGTTGAGATCACGGTCCGCCTTGGCGAATGGCAGTGAGTTAGTAGAAGGAGAAAATCCCGTTGTCGTTGTACAAAATTGTGAGAAGAAAGTCTGAACTTTTCTGGAAGATAATGGTACTTTCCAACGTTGCGACAGTCTCATGTGGGTAAGTTAATGTTATCAGCTCCGCGCCAGTTACCGGCCTACTCGACATCTAACAAGAATGGGAAAGGCGTATCATTCTAGAGGCAGATACAAAGTCACCTTATGCAATGAGTCATATTCGCTACATCTGTGTGGGTTTTGGGAAGTCTATCTTTTCACATACTCAGTATGGAATCTTGTTACTAGAACGGTTGATAACGCCTACGCGCAAAGCCGCTGCTAATCTTCTTG